CTCGATCTCCACCATCACTTTCATCTTCACCCTTCACCCTCACCCTAGGCGCTCCTCCGGCTCCTCATCGCTCGCTCGCGCGCGGACGGCTCCGCCACGCCCATGCACATCGAGGAGCTGCTGTCGCCGCGAAAGCCCGCCGCAGCCTAGCCCGGGTGCTGGCGGGCGCGGCGCTCTCCGGCTCTCCATCTCACTCCGTTCGGAACTTTTGGCGGCAAACATGTGCCGCAGTCGCGTGAGAATGCCGGAGGGCAGCGGGCGCCGGTATGGGTGAGAGCGCTGGGTTGTCCCTAGCCTCGGGTCGGGCGTGGCTGGTCTCGTGTGCCGCATGCAGCAGTGGATCGCACTCCCCTACATGCCCCAAGTGTTGTGTGGGGACGTGTGTGCCAGGCCCTGTGTGCGCGTGTGTGTCTGTGTTGCGACAGTCTTTTCCGAAAAGGCTAGTTCCATTTCACTCTGACACGCTAATCTTGAAAACGTCCAACGGAGCTCCGTGTTGCTCCCAGCGCCCTCCCCCGCGCTTCCTGCGGCCATGGCCGATGATACTAGTATGAGAGGTCATCTGGCTACCGCGAGCGCGACTCAACTCGCCGACGTCGTCCGATGATTGTGCCTCAAAGTCAGCCTCCGGAGGCTATCGGTGGGGTCGAGCCGGCAGTAGCCGTGACATGTGGTTCCACCACCCCTCGTATGCTTTGCCTCTGACCGCCACCGTTCCCAGGCTGCCAAATGGGATGGAAAGGAAGGCTCGGCGAGCGTATAGAAGCGTGCTCGACCTCGTCGTGGCAACCTGCACGGCAGCGCTGGTAGGCGCGATGAGCGTCGTGCCACCTGACCCGAGACGGGTCGCAGGCGTCGTACCGAGCGCGTCGAGACCGTGTCCTGATGTGATCTGCACGGGTGAGTCACGTCGGCGTCAAAGGAGCGACGTGCGACCTGTCAGAGCTTGATCTCCGATCTCAGCGGCGTCGAGTCGTCTCCGGCGCGCGACAAAGGTACATCCCCAGGACGCGCAGAGGCAGTTGTCCGCTCCGCCGTGGGCTTCACTGAAAACCAACTGATACTCCGATCGGGCAAGCTGGATGTTTCTGCTTTTTGTTTACCCGA